TGTAGCCCTAGCCACACTACACATTCATGCCCAGCTGTCCATATACGAGATAACCTGTTGAGCTACCTTACATTCCATATAATTAAAGGCAGTAGCTTCTTATGTAAAATGTATTTACTGTCAGATACACAGAGCATAATATCTATGGTTATTATGTTTCACCAGTTTAACTTGTCATCATCAGGTACAAAGTTTATAACGTTTCACTAGTTTAACTTATCATCATCAGGTACAAAGGTTATAACGTTTCACTAGTTTAACTTATCATCATCAGGTACAAAGGTTATAATGTTTCACCAGTTTAACTTATCATCATCAGGTACAAAGGTTATAACGTTTCACTAGTTTAACTTGTCATCATCAGGTACAAAGGTTATAATGTTTCACCAGTTTAACTTATCATCATCAGGTACAAAGGTTATAACGTTTCACCAGCTTAACTTATCATCATCAGGTACAAAGGTTATAACGTTTCACCAGCTTAACTTATCATCATCAGGTACAGTGGTTATAACGGTACAACAAGTAATACTAATGGTATTTAGTTGATTGAGCTTAACAAGACCTGCAGACCACAAAAGGATTATGAATATCATAAAACAATGAACGCTATTTTTCTACACATGAGGAATTGTGATTATAAAATCAATTGGAAATCGGCCAAAGTAATATTTAAAACTAGAAATCATATCAAATAAAAATTGTGGAAGATTAGTTATTCTAAATATTGTCAATATTCAATTATCATTGAAGATTAGTTTGAGCTGAACATTTTTTTTATGACATATGTTGTTTAGGGGCTTGTAATTTCTGTTATAAAATAAACAGTACATATGTTTCTCTCAATAAACAGTCGTTAAACTGAAAGAAACACATGAAAGTGTCAACAATTCTATACATATCAATTTGTTGGTTCATAACATTATATTTAGATTTTATATCAGACTGTGTATTTACCTACTATTAGAATGTAAATATTCATACAGTCATTAATAAACTCTACAACAAAACAGTTTCAGATATTTTACAAAGTGGCATATGTGTTAAAACATAATTTTGATCTATGTTAGACTATTTTTGATAAATTAATATAGTCTAATTGTGCTATGTTATAAATTCACCTTTAAAATATACAAGATAAAACAAATTGTATACAACAATTCAATCTTATAAGTTTGAAACAGGCTAGACAATATATATAACTGTATACCAGAATATTTATTAATTTTATATTCAAACTGTTTAATTTAATGTTTCCTGAACTTTAAATAGCAGTCCTCCCTAACCTAACAAAGTTCAATTGCATCCCACTTCACATTAAAATTTTTGCAAGTGATAACAGCAAAATCATCTTCTTTACTTGTTTTTAATAATTTTTTAAAAAATGCTTGCAAGGAGTGAATAAATGCGAATGCAATAAACTTTAACAACAAAGTGATAGTTTTGTTAGGTTTTCCTCGTCTCCAACTTTTCTGTTTCTTCTTTCATTATTTTTGGGCTCTCCCACCAAAAGGCTGTGCCTCCCCAGCCATCAATATATGGCTCCCTGGGGGCATTTTGGAAAATATTGGTTTAACTAATTAGGCTTTCCTTATTTTGAAGCACTTTTATATATTTTACTATTGAGAATTTCAATATTGTCAGGTTTTAACTCAAAATATTTTAAATTCAATATTTTGCCATTCTCTGACAGTGTAATTAGTAATGCAAAAAGTTTTGCCTATAAACTAAACAACCCGCTTGTTGATATCCTTAAAAATTTTCTGCCCATCCCAAAGAATTATTTTTATTTTTGCTAAGAACCTATTACCTCTTGAGAACATGTTATCCATTTCTTAATTTTCATGTGTTTCACTTTGTTTATGTATCATTCTTGGTTGAAACCTTGTTATGGTGTCACATGAAGTGTTTGGTCATTTACTAATGAAACAAAGCTTTGAAAAAAATCTATAAAGAAAGCTCAAATATGATTGGATGGAGCAAAAATTAGACTATCATGTAATAATAGGGTACACACAAAGAGGTTTAAGACTTTTTAAAATAGTTTCTGTAAATGTTCCTTTCGATTTCAAATTGTGAAAATATTTTTGTGTTAAATTATATCTACTTGAAAGCTACAGACATTTTCTTTAATGAGAAGGCATCAGATAGTGTAAGCTTACACAGTTTAGAGATGGGTTTAATAGGTGACAAAGAAAACTTTATTTCAAGTTTAACACAGTAAGAAATGTACAATGATTGAAGAAGGTTTTATTTCAAGTATGAGTAATTTACCTGTATTTGGGAATGAATTTTGAGAGTGCATGCACATTTATAAAGTCATAAAATTGCATATATATATATATATATGACATTTTCTGTGTGAAATGCTCAGATTTCAAAAAATTCAAAAAATTTACAGCCTGATTATCAAGTTTTTTTTTTATATAAGTACATGAAAAACATACAAATTAATTTGAAGAACTGAACATCATCTGAAGTAGGCAAAAATACAGTTAAAAAAAGAACATAGGAGGTGAAATAAAACTTATAAATAGTGACACCTTTTGAGTTTTTTTCAAGAGTACACAAATTTTAGTCTTATGAAAAAGTTCAGAAAGTGTGATTAACCCTATGCTTACAGGCTCGGTCAGAATCACAGTGCATTTCACAATTTTTTTTTACAGTTACATTCAAAATTTAATTAAACTACTTTATTATCAGTGTATGTCATTAAAGTTGGCATCAAAACATATTTTGTAATTCAAATTTTTGTATTGTTTAAGTTTTATTTATCATCTTAATTTCAAAAGGAAAATTTAAATGAATTCTTACACTTCACCTCTCTGTGTCACTTGATGCATTTACACTCTTGACTTTCCATTCATAGTATTTCTGTCTTTCCTTATATTGATTTCAGAATGTTGATCCAAATAGAAATACATACTGTAGATATTGAGAAGCCAGAATATAAAATTTGAATCTCTTCTCTGCTTTACTGAGATATCACTATATTTGTTTAAATCATGATACATCCTTCCAATCTTTTTCATTTTCTCTGACATAAACATTTCCACTCTTAGTGTAATGTACATAGCATGTATATATGTATCTATCTATGTATGTGACCAAAATAATATAGTATTGTGCAATCTATTGAATGGCACCACAAACAAAAATTCAGACTTTAGATAGTCAAGATTCTTACAATAAGAAAAATAACTACATTATGTGCAACAACCATTTCTTTATCATAGAACACAATTTTAACTAAAAGTACACTCCTCACAACAAGAACACCACTTTCACTAGGACTGTACACGAGGGTTTTGATTGTATGCTTATTGATGTAATTTGTAAATATAGTACTAAAAAAATAGTTCTTAAAAAACTTATTTTTTTAATAAAGGGTACCACTTTTAATATATGAAAACATTACACTTTATATCAATACAGTCCAAACACTTTTCCCATGCAGTACTTTGCAAAAATTCATTTTTTTAGAAAATTATAATTTTTTCTAAATTTTTTCAATGAGGTATGAATACTATGATTAACAATTACTAGCACAAACAGCTGCTCGCAGAGCAGCATTTCTTTTTAGTGTTTATAGTGTTTTTTCATTACATAATTTTTTTATATGGTTATTTCATTTTAGGCAACCAATTAAAAGAAAGTCAATTAAAATAGTTTTAGGATATGCAATTCTTGTTTGTGATAAATGTTTTGTGATCCAAAATACATATTTGAAAGGAACATGAAGTATTTTGTGGAAAACCAATATGATGTGAAAAAAGTAGCCTTATCAAAATATGTTTCTTAATACAAATTGGTCTTGTAGCTAAGGTAAAGTTTCTTGTTTTTTATGTATATTTTTTATTTGTTGTCACATTTTTTTTAAAACAAAACTAACTGAAATATAAAAGTTAGAAACTTATTAGGTTAGATGATGATGAAACTTAAATGACAAAATTGTTGATGATCACTTGCTCGTGATTTGAGGTCACCTAATATAACCTTTGTTTATACTAAACTCTCCCACTGTGATATATTGGGTTTTACTATGAGGTGGTCTAAAGTACATTAAAGCAATGATACTAAAAGAAAGTAGACATATAAAGGCTAGAAGCTGAGGCTGTTTGGATAAATAATTGTAATTGTTTAGTCTAATCTGCAGTCATTCAAGAAAAAAAATATTTATTTCATATTTTTCAACTTTCCATTTCATTGTACATTGATAAATTTGCTACAGTTGGTATTAGGATAGAGAAAATAAGAGATAAGGTATAACATTTTACAGAAAAAAGTTGATATTCATTTAGGAGTACATGTAAATGAAATATGAAGACTGTAAGATGAAAAATATTATTATTTTCAGCATGAAAGTCACCTTCATTCAGGCTGACTCAATAAAGGCTTCATAAATACACAGACAAATAAAAATACTGTATTGAAAAGTCAGATTTTTTGTGTACAGCTTGTAATTTCACTAAAAGCTTGCTAAATCTCATTCAGATGTACTAAGTATATTCTGAGTTATTTGCAATATTTATAATTTTATGGTTACAAGGTCAATCAAGTTGACTTACCAGTGTGTCTAGAGTTCAAGTAATATGATTGAGGAGTTGTATGTAACATTGGTCTACGATATTGTCAGATTTTTTCCTATTTGCTGAATTTATGTGTTTTTCCATGCTATGTAATGAGCCCACACACACAAAATAATTCTTAGAATTCCTTTTTTACATAATAGGCATTTTACATGTATTTTTTGTTTTTTATGTGTTTCTGTCAATTTTTCTGGTAGTTATTCCAGGCCTGGAAAGACCTGCATATACCTGTTTAGCTGTAATTGTGTGCACTTGTAAATAAATACAGATTTCAAAGTATACATTTATGTTAACTGTCAGGTATATACATCCTTATTGAAATTTCAGTTTTTTGTACTTCATATACAAATTTTCCATTTATGTGAAGTACATTGCAATAGACTGAAAGAGATTTTTCTTGTGTTATTTCAGAAAAATGATACTATTCTAAGTGAACAAAATCAAAATGACAACAAAATTTGCCCGAGAAGTCTTAAAAGTTGCTGTTGCTCAAATCTGTCAAAATATTGGGTGGCATGCAGTGCATTCTTCTCCTCTGGAGATACTGATCGATATTTTACAGGAGTACTTAACAGATCTTGCCAGATTAGCTCATCTTCATGCTAATCATTGTAAGTAAATATATATATATATATTTATTATTGTTGTGTATATTCTGTTAGGTTCGTGTGCTTAAAACTTACTATGTTGCAGAAAAAGCTTCCTGATTTCCAGGTATTTAGGTCATACCAGTTTAATTAATTGAACAAAAAATGTGGACAACAAGGACTATTTGGTCCTTCAAGACTTTTTTACAAGTCTTTTTTTTTTGATTCAAGTTAATTCAAATATTTCCTACAGAATGCTCTGTGTTAGGAACACAGCTAATATTGTATGAAAAACAGGAGAGAACATTTTTTAACATTTTGCTTAACATTTAACATACTTTCTAAAAGTCAGCTGTTTTTATAAGCTCTTTTTGATATCCTAATTTCTCTTTCCACCATATCACTAGTCTTCTTGTAGGTTTGTAAATCTCTCAATACATACTTCATATGTTTTTCTCCTTTATTTTAACCAATTTCATTTATTTTTTAACTATATTTTTGAGGAACACTGAAACATATCCTTGATATTTAATATGACATAACTATATTGCACAAGTACAGTTTTAAATTAGGCTAATTTTATCTGTTATCAGATTATAATTTTTTTTTCTTGATTATACATTTACCTGTTTAATCTTTTCATGTCTGTGTTAATGAGTTTTGTAAAGCAGAAGTAAAATAAAATCTTTAATTACATTTCTTTTTCACTATAATTCTCCTATAGCCCATTGTTTTAGAACTGTAAGTTATAATAAAGGTACCATTAAAGATTGCTATTGCTGATAACATTTGTTGTTGGAGTTTTCCAAAAGCTTGGGCCTATAACTTTATCCTTGAAAGTTACACACACCTTACTTCTGTTTCATTTTATCCATCCTCTTAATTTTGTGAGGAATTAGACTATTTACTTTTCTGTGAACTTTCCCTAATTTACTGTTTACAGTTTTATAACTTTGTACAAATCTTATTCTTCTAAGAGTTATGTGATATATTAGACCATCTAATATTAGAATCACTTGATAAACAATATGTTACATTGTACTACTTTTGTTTGATTTCATCCAGACTCGTATGGTTGCATTAAAAAAAATTTTTTGGGCAGTTTAGTGTACTGTTCTGACATATTCTTTTGTAAAGGCTTCTCAAAGACTTAAAATTCCATCTATAAATGAGTATCAATTACACCTATTTTATTCACTTGGATTTAAGACTTTCATCTCTCCTTTATCCTCACTTATTTATATGAATATATATGCCTCTATCATTTATTATCAGACACTCTAATCATAGGATCTGTATGCCATTTACATTGTTTGATATTTTAAATAACATGTTCAAATACTTTAGCAGTTGCATTTTTTTGTTCTTTTTTTTTCATCTCCCACTGTATTTTGTCTCCCTCTAGTCGCCATTCTTTAGTCGATCCATCGTCTTTGAAATGGGTAAATATGTTTTCTTTACCTTTTCCATTTACCAGGATCCTGCTAAGTGGCTGGTATTGCCTCCCAGGGTATGCTTATTTTCCCAAATCCACAAAATATAAAAAAAATGAAAAGTGTTCAGACCATCCACTCAGAAAGAAAGCCAAGACTGGGTCTCGAGACTCCATCTCTGTGATAGAGCCACTTGGTTATGAATAATATAGTATAGAATGTCTGAGAGCACTATTGGCAATTTGTGAAATAGAGGATGTGACAGGTTGGGTTTGAATTTCTAGTTTATCAATACATCAACAAATAAAATTGAAGGGTATAAAATTATTCTTTGCCTGAGTAATATCTATATTATAATGAATAATTATAAACAAAAAATCAAAAAGTGAATGTATTATTATTGTTGTTGCTCTCATGTTTTATTCAAAAATGTTACTTAGTTTATATGGTTGATCACGTGAAAAATAGCTTGGTCTTGGTCTCAACCCACCTGGTCTTGACTACATCTCTGTTTTACCAGTGCCTACTGTGGAAAGGGGGTGTTCTGCAAGACCACTAGAGCTATTCTTGTGGTATACAACATTACTCGGTTCCCCAGTTCTGACCATACCATTTCATAGACTATCATAGAAATGTTTGCTGACTTTTCAAAATTGGGTTTCTTGGTCACCCATTGCACTCTCTCCAATAAAAGACTATACTGGCAGACATCTGAGCACACTTCCAGGTCTTGAAGAGTTCTTCATTAATTAGGCTTAGCATGATACATTGAGAAGTAGGGCAGTGGTGGGATTCTAGCTATTCTGTATGAAAAGGTGAGTTATCATCTTGAATGTTAATATTTTTCTTATCTGAAAATGCATTTCTGATAGGTATTCACTCACTTCCACGGACATTCTCACTTTTTGTCTCATAATGATGTCATTATGCACCAGCACAGCTTACATTAAACATGTGAATTTTAGGTGGGGGTTAACTCAAAGCTAGTGGCATGTAAATCTCATAGGCAAATGTGCAAGAGATGTAGTTATCCTGTGTGAAGAGGTGAGTATCTATTGGAAATACATTTTCAGATTAGGAAAATGTTAACTTTTGCTGTGGATGGTTTCTCTACAGCTAGGGTTAGAGTAGAAAAAATAAGAGATAAGATATAAAATTGTACCAAAATAAAAGCATTCGGGCTGACTCAGTACAGGTTTTATATATTCACAGACAAATCTTTATTAAAAATATGTGTGACTCAAATTTCTGAATATGTTTGACTGGGTTCAGTGCATGCATCAACTTATTCAGAATTCTTCACTCTCCCACCTTCCACAACATTTTATGCATAAACTAGGAGACCTTACATAAATTCTGCTTTCCTGCCATAGTTCAGATTCTATTTGTTGAAAGTCATGCTGGGAAGAATGATTTTCTTCTGAGTATACTTAGGTCTATTCTTTATATAAAGCTGGTTAGCTGCACTCATTCTCCTCTTGAATCCAGATCTTCAACTATTTGTGGTTTTTGATTCTACTCCAAATCTGCTGAACCACATGTTACCTTCCTGTCTTGCAACTTTTTCATCTTAACTATCTCCAGTCCCACCTCCTTTTCTGATTACCAGTGTTTCAGAAGTAAGAGTACTTGATTTGAATTTTATATTTTTTCTTTTGAATTTCAAACAGATACTTAACTCCATAATACATTCAACCCACATCTTCACAACCAGGCAATACGTGGCTTATCATCACAACTGCAACTAAGAAATGTTATTTAGGGTGGTAAAGTAGAGCTTATGTAAGTTCTTCTGACATATGCTTAATAAGTTATTTGGAAGGTAGGAGAGTGGAGAATTCTGGGTAAGTTCAGGCATGCTGTATGTTGCATCAAAGATGTTCAGATCTTTGAGTCACATGGTTGTTGGCAGTGTGAGAGCAACTCAACAAATACAGGTTTTCGGTATTTTAAAGGAAAATGCCTGTTTGTAATTTATTTTAATTTAAAAAATTGTAGCAGTTTAAAAAACATGAAGTTTTATTTTGTGGTTTTGTCATAATTTGTTCTTTAAAAATTCTAGATGGAAGAACTGAAACTAACTTGGATGACTTGGGACTTTCTTTCAAAAATAAAGGAGTGTCACTGAGTGAACTTGAAGAATACATTAATAATGTTGAACCTGTTCCTTTTGCTAACAAGTACCCATGTTTTGTTGTGCCTAATCCTTCCAAACTTCAGTTTCACAAAGCTACAAGCAAAGAACTCCTTAATCGACCCGAATGGGTGGACAAACATCTTCCCCCAATGCATCTGGAACCTGATGGTATGTATGTATAAACTCATACAACTGTAGTATGGAATATTTTTTATCTACTGTGGATTTTGCAGAGTCAGATTGCATGACTAAGCTAAGCAGAAAACTAAATACTAGTGGTATGTGTTACTGTAAACATGTTAATGAAATTTAGTTAAATGTATGTGATTGAAAAATTCTTCATTTAGTAAATGTAGTTTTCAGTTTTTTAGCAAGATGAATTTGTTCAAAAAACCTTATCTCTTTCCTTATAGGTACCCTTTTCTCTGCATGTCACAATTTTCTTACAGAGTTAAATCTAAAATTTAACTAAGCTACTTTATTATCACTTTATACAAATAAACTTGGCATCAAAATGTAGATAATAAATCAAATTTAATATTATATAAATTTTAAGTTCTTAATATTATAAGAAATATTAAAAAAATATTCCCCAATCTCACCTAGCATGAGAATTGTAACATTTGTTCTCTAGGTCTTCTCTCTTCTCCAATTTATTTACCACCCCTCTAAGAAGTACAGAATTTAATGTAAACTACTTATTATAATATAGTTATTACATGAGGATCCAGGTAAGTACTATATTTCTTGTTTTCCATGTATAATCTATGTATTATTTTAAAAGCAACTAAAATAAAAAAAGAAACTTATTAGATTAGATAAGGTTAGATTATGTAAGATAATGAAAAGCAAAATTATAAAAATTCTACACATGGTATGCTTGCGAGCAGTTCATGCATTACATAATTCAATATGGTAATGTGAGCTAAACGTTTGATGAGTGATTTACAATTTGTGTGGTGGGATAATTAGTTTGATACAGTTCAAAGGTCAATAAAACAATAAAATTAAGTATAAATAGATGTATACTGTTAAAAGCTTTAAGGATATTTAGGATGGACAGTTGTAGTTTCCTGTTAATTGTAAAGAAATTAACAGATAAAACATTAAGATTTTTGAAAACAAAATGTTTGACATTTACTTTGGAGGTTTTAGAGAATATGCAACTGAAATTTGACAATTTACAGTTGAAGAAAAGTATTTTTAATCTCAACATGAAAATCACTTTGAACTCAGATTAGACAATACTTTGAGTAAAAGTACTTAATTAAAAACCTGATTTTTTGTGTACAAAAGACTAGTAATGTGTACTGATTTTCTGCAAAATTTTGTGAAGATATGCATACATTATCAGAAGTTGTAGTATGACTAATATCATTGTTACTCATGGTCACTTTGGTGGTTACAAATTAGGTACAAAGCATCCATCCTTTATGGAAAAAAAAGTTAATTAAAACCCAAATTCACAGATTGTAGATTCGTATTACAATGTAAAATTGTGTGTTATTGTGTTATAGTTTATTAATATATTGTCAAAGTATCAGATCTGTCAGTGATTAATACAGGAATTTAGTTTCGAACTTTATAAACCCCTCCCAAACTAATTACCTGTTGAAGAACTGGGAGATAGAGGAACATTTTAAACCCTCTCTGCAGGGTTTTAGACATCCACCCCCAAAACCAGAAGTATTTTAATGACAATGATATAATTTTCTCATATGGAATGTACTTCTTCACGCTGTATCTGTTATTTTTTCCAAATTTATGCAAGTCAGAGAGTAACTCCTGATTTTTAGGTGATCAGACAGAAAAAAGTAAGACATAACTTTTAAATTTGACAAAAAATATAACTTTTTCTGTTATAAATAAGCTAGTATTTCTCTTGAGTGTTTATTATTGCATTTAAATACGTAAGAGAAGGAGTTCAGAACTGTGATGATATTTGTAAATTGCATAATTCAAAATGGCAGTTGAAGGGAAAGTTGTTAAAAACGTATTAGTTAAGTACAATGTCTCATAAAAGATATTATATAAAATAGTTACTAGTTATTAATAATGATCAAGAACATGAAGATAAATAAGGTATGAGTGTATTTTGAAATATTAACAGATTTGTTTTATTGCCATATTTTGAAAAATCATTATTGTAGTGGATTTGGTTCTTCAAGTTAGACCAAGACTTTAACTTGGCTGCAATTTTTATTTGTCTAATATAGAAGTTGTTGAACATTGAAATTGTTCTACACAAGCTAAAATATACTGAACCAATTTTTCAAATCCAGTTCCATTGGCTGTGGTTTCGCTAGATAGTAGATAGGGACAGTGGGAATCTCGTTAATCCTTTCATGCGCATCACTAATTAGATGACGAGGCATTTGGCTACCTTAAGAGAGTCATAGTTACTCCTGCCGTTTACCCGTTGTGATGGATTATTTGGATAGTACCTAACAAATATGTGAATTCATATCTTAATTTAAAATTCAACCTTGAAAACTACTTGCCAAATTTCACATGAAACTTTTTTTTAAACTGTGAATTTGAGCATTCACAGTCAAAAAACATGGGTTGGATTGTACCATAGCTATATTGATAAGCATGACCCATACAGCGTTATGTTTTCCGTTTTCCTTTAGGTTGGCATTTAAAAAACCTTTGAACTCAATATATTTTTCAGTGCAATAGGAAGTTATTTTGTATTAAATATTTTTTCAGGGTATGAATCTGTACCTTTGTGTTATTAAAATATAGATTAATTTACACTGATTCTGAATCAGTTGTTTTTACCTGGAGTGACTTATTTAATAAAAATTTATAGGTAAAATACAAAATGAAGTGTATGGAAGTTAATGCAAGGTTTTCTGGATGGAAAAACCTCACTAGGAAAGAAAAACTTCATATTGATCTTGGATTTGTGAACCATTAACCTTATATGTTCAGACAAAATCAAAATGATCAACCTTGTAACCACAAAATATAAGTGAATTTACTAAATGTATCTTCAAAGAATTTATTTGGCAAGCTTTTAGTAAACATTACAAGTCTGTTGAATACAGAAAGTCAAATTTTTATATAAAGTATTTATAGTAAATATTTGACTCTGAATTTCTGAAGCCTTTACTGAGTCAACTTCATTCTAAGAGTACTTTCATGCTAAGATTGAAAATACGGCTTTTAATCTTAAAGTTTTAATATTTCATACGACTTCTAGAACCTCCTAAATTAATATAAAAAGATTTTTAATTAAAATTTTAAATTTTATCCATTATTTTCTCTACCCTAACACTAACTGTAGCTATATCATCAATGTCCAATAAACTAAAATTTGGAAAATTATGAAATAAAATGAACAGTACCTTTTTTTTTTCTTCTTTGAAGATGTCATTTTGCTATATTTTTCACTATTTCTTTTCTGATATAGTTGATCTTCATTTTATAGTTTTATTGCCTGGTTTGTATTGCATGCAGTTCATTCATTACTGAAATGCAACAAATCATAGTGGGAACACATTATCAGATTCTCATACTGTCCACGTTAAGCTCTGCTCTCAAACACATAGCTAGCTAGCTCTTTTTTCTTTCTTTCTGTAATTAAATTAAGAAGTCAATGGAGTTCATATTGGATAATCATTGGTATTTTATTGCAATTTGTATTATGTTTTCAAAAAATTTAGACTTTGGATATAAGCAATGTTTTTACCTTTAAATCTAAAAGTCAGTGATAATCTTGCAAGTTCACTACATGACCAAATTACATACTATGGATATTTTAACACTGTTTATGCCTGTCTTCCTTTTCGTTTTTTTTTTGTTTTTTCTTCTGCATTTTGGTATGTGTGTGTGTGATTTCATTCTTCAGTCCTCAACTTTGGTTTTTAAATGAATGATTTACTTGTCTTTGTCATCTTAAAATTGCAATCTTTCCCATCTTTCATAGATGCATAATGCAGAGCTTTTGTTTGATAAAATTCCAAAATATTCAGTTTTCAAGTCTAGTCATCTCAGTCTCTTCTCCATTAAAATGTGCATTGTAGAATCCTAAGGGTTACATGCAAATTAAACTGAACTATATTGCTGAATTAGAATACAGGTTAGTAGTGTTGTTTTGAAAACTCTTGTACTTGGTATTCTTAGAAAGCTTGATTTCAATCAGTTGGACTGAATTAACCAAATGTTTAATGGGCATTGGTAGCTACATGAATGGTATCTTAATACATATATTTTCTTGCTTTTTTCTTCTTTACTTTCTCATTAAGGTAGTGATTGGATAGAAAAAACACCTTTTTAGGTGATTCTTGGGGAGCTTTGTTTGTGTATTTACATCTCTTTATGGACATTTTTATATTTGTGTAAATGCTGGCCTTAAATCCTTCTGGATTTTGAGCCATTCATAAGCCTGTCTTTGGGTTCTTAATTATAGAAGAAGATAAATTTTGTGGTGCATCCTCTGGATGTACATTCCCTGTAAGTACGGTGTTGGTTGGAGATGGTCCAGCTAAGTAAGTGCTCATGTGTGCTGGCCGGTATCCCTCTTCCTACAGTGGACTGGAAGTACCATACCCATTGACATCAGGTTTTACACTAGAGATATCATCCTGCCAGGACTTTCCACCTTCTTACCATCTGCTGGATGCTGGTTCCCAGTAGATGTTGGTTATGTTTGAAATGCGTGCAAGTGGAGATTGATTTTGGTAAGGAAGCTCGTCTTCCCTACCAATTCCCATCTCTCCCTACCGTAGATCTGATGTACCATTCCAGATTCTGCCTGGTGTTGGATGGGGTCGAACTACCACTACAGTCTGTCGCACCCTATCCACTTGACACCCAGGAGTCCCTTCATTGGTCATACATATTCTGGGATTCCTTCATGTGTTTCCTACTTTTATGTTTGTGACACAGTCATAAAAGAGCAAAGAGTATACCTGCATCAGGTATTGTGCAGTTACCCGCTGATGTGTGATGTTTTTTCTTTTGGTTCTACACCTCCTGGTCTCTCTTTGGGCACTTTCTAAGGGAGGAAACTTTTTTTTTTATTGGCTCTTCGCTAGTTCATTGTGGGATTCTAACTATTTGTGAGTGGAGTTAAGATTGTATTGGAAGTTAGCATTTTCCTACACTGAAAATGTATTTCGAGTAGATACTTACCACTTCTCATATTCCCCCTCCCCTCCAGCCTCCCCACTTCCAATAATATATGGGGTAGGTCTTCTGACCAATCTCAAAGTAATTAACAAGTGCAGATGTGAAGAGGGTGCTTGTTACAATAGGAATGGTGTTGTACTTCCATTGGTGGAGAGCTTCTGCATGATTATTTGCATGTGGATATACAGAAGTGGGAGGTGGAAGGCTAGTGGCATGTGTGGAAAATCTGCACTGATAGAGGGCAGTGCTAGTTGAGAAAATCTATTTTGTGAGGTAGTTATTTATTGGAACTACATTTTCAACTTTCTGTTTTTATGGTTAGACTAGGAGTTTCGTTATTCTGTTATACTCATGAGTATGAACTGACTGAATCATTTATCTTGTCTTGATAATACTCTTTTCATTGAGTTGTCACATCATCATCAGATATGTCATTAGTTACACATTTGTATAAATTCCTCTGTGATTTCACACAACTTTTCTATCTTTCTCAATCAAAAAAACGTTCATTATTTTAGTTTTAATCTCGGATTTTCTGATGCTGGATGTGAGTGCATTCAGCTAAGACTGAACAAACTCTTCTTTTTCCAGATTCTTTCTGTTTTGTTTTTTCTCAAAATCCTTTCATAATAATAATTAAATTTTTTCTCTGTTTCTCATTCATGAATCTTGTAGTTCTTCCTTCTTGGCATGTATATAATTTTCATCAGAATATCCAATACCTAAGGTTCATGATTAGGTCTCCTATGAGAAGAGCTGATTTCTCCTCTATATTTGATCGTTTACTAATCCATCATAATATTTCTTCCCCAAAAAACAATTTATTTAATCAAGGTAAAGACTGTATTACCGTTGAGGTACAGGATATTGTGGCTTTTTGTTAACTCTATGTATGTTCCTAACCTAACAGATCACAGTGCTTTATTTGGACAATATGATGTTAATTGAGTTACACTGATCTCTTTGGACATTTTCATTTGTTTTCAGGTTATCATTTGTGATTTTTGCATAAAGGTTAACCTTTCTTGCATTTCTCTCACAGTCTCTCGGGATGATTAACTTTAAATTATGGAAAAATCTGAATATTAATTGACAGTCACATCTTAGAAGATTAGACATGTGGCTATGGATACCTCATTGAAAAATATTTTATAACAAGAAATGTGGATGTCTTCAAATGTCTTTTATATCTTTTAGTTTGAGTATTCTAACTATTTCTTCTTAGAAGTAATTTAAAAACATTTTGTAAATGTAAAATGATGTAGGGATGGCAGTGCCAAAAGGAATGCTAACGAGAACATGGGGATGATACAGCTATACCTAGATCATCCCTCATGACTTTCAACATTAAAATTTAATGTTAAACTGTGAAATGCACAAATACAAAATTGTTACGAGGTCGGTCAATTCAATTTACAAAATATTTTTTATTACTTGTAACATTCTTTTTCCTGACTGAAGGTTAGAGTATTCTATGAATGTGTGTAATATTATGTGTATTGATTTTTCTTACTCCTTCACTTCATAGATAATATAGAAGTTGGCTCCTTAAAAACACTGATTGTATAGTGTACAAAGCATTGAGTATTCTACGTGTTACAGTCATATAATGTTCATCTGTTATTGTCTGCTAATTCCTATTTCACCCTGTACTTATGCTTTTTAAAAGAACACCAAGTTTCTGTAAGAAAGCTAACTCCAAGGGATAATGATAACATCATTTAAACTAGAATTAGGATTTTTTAAAGTTATTAATATTTATTACGACTAAGTGCACAGCTCAGAAACACTTAGAGTGGATTTAGCTTTAAACTGATATAAGTGATAAAGTAGTTGTAAAGTTATTCCAACTGGAACAAGAAGAAGAAAGACGAACAATTTGGTGTGTTGGTTATTTTCTGGTGTGGTATCTTAGCTATAGTTTCTTGCCTTGTTTTTTGGTTTGTTGGGTAGATATACAAATGAGAGTGAGAGGTTTTCATCTTTTAAAGTAAAACTCTCTGTAAATGTTTATTTTTTAGCATGAATATTTGTATTATGCCTATTGAGTACCTTGGCCATCCCTACATATTAGTCTACCAACTCTACGATAGGCATCTACTACTTTTTGTCATTGTTTTTCAGTTAGTCATGAAGCTACTATTCTATTTTCAATCCTTCCAATTTTTCTGTTGCTTTTATTTTTGTCTTCTGAATTAGATTTCTATTATCGTTCTGGAGGATTTCTACTTTGAAGTTAGGGTAGTGAATTAGAAATGGTGCTTGTCTTGCTGAATACTCCTATATTCATATCTAGTGATTAGTTGGTGGACTGTGTTTTATGCAAGTTTGGGGTTTTCATGGCGAGTTAACTTATTTGAAAGTTTTGCATTTTCCAGACAGTTACAGCAGTTTTTTTTTTAAGTCTAGAATCTGACAGTCTGAATATAGAAGGTTCTGGTCAAAGAACTCAAAGCTTGATGTTAAAAAAATGTAAAACTGTGCTCTAAATGCCTGGTGATTGTTAAAAACAAAAATTCCAACACACAGGATAGGTTTGAAAGCATATTTAGTGTCCAGTGTGTACTACTACATGTACATTTAATGACTGCAGCTGGCATTCTTTTTTTTTGTACTATCTATTTTTTTTTATAAGTTTTTCTACCAATCGATTACAGTTTATTTTATTTGAGTGTACCTTGTGGCCTGTCCTGGTTTATTATGATGCCTGAGGGTTTTCTTATGGAGTGAGTGTAAACTTGGTAATGTGTTTTTAACCTGTGCTTCTGTCCTCTTGGGTGGGGTTATCCAAGTAACATAGCCTGTTATGATTCCTCTATGCATCATATACTTTTGGGTTGGGACTGTAGTAATTGAAATAATATTTTTAGCATTGTTTTTTCACAGTAAATTTTCTGAGTTAGAAATGACAGAGGTTAAGCTGAAATTTCCTGATGCCATAGCTAAAATATATGTTGAAGAATTAGAACTTATTGCAAAAATGTACAAGTATTAGGACAGAAAAAATTATATAAACTTTGCTTTTGGTGAAAGAAGATATGCATTTAAATCTATATCAAAATATTTAAAACATCTTTAATTTTTAATTAAGAACAAAATTTGTATATATGTATATATATATAGTTTGTTTTTTGTTTTTCCAGAAGATGATCAGGGAACTCTTTCCTTGCATGAACATGTTGATGAAACTGCCATGACACATAGTCAGGAGGAAGAAGACAACAATAAACTGGAGCTGTCCTTATTAGGTAGTCCCAAACCTGAGTATAAATTTTCAGCTGAACCTTCTGGAGAAGACACATACATAAATAATAACACAAGGTAATCCCGAAACATTATCGTGGTCTTGTAAAAATAATTAACAATTTTTGGGTTCTTACCATCATGTTAAATTTCTTATTCCAATCTCTTAACCATAGACTAGAAGGTATGAAATAGATGCTTTGCATCTAAGTTTTATGTTCATTCAGACACCAATTTTATTGGGAAAAAAGAGACAGCAACAAATCTTTCATGTTAATAGTTTTTTTTTTATCTGAAAAACAAAGCCATTCAAAAGCTTCTGGTTATTTTATATAATGTAAAGTCATGCATAATTAGTTTTCTCATAATCTGTAGATGTTCACTTTATTGATTCATAATTTTTCTAAATAAAATTACTGCAACATACACACATCTGTATATGGAACACAAAAATTTAAGTACTCTCACACAAATATCTACCCTGGTATTTGCTACATGTACATAAATTGTATGCAAAATTGACCACTTTATAATGGGCATCATTAGCCTTTTTTTGAGGTTGCATCAGGTGTAATATAGCCACCTGGGTTGTGTGTCACAGTACATCTGCCAGCACTTTTTCTGATTATAATCTGCTCACCATAGTGGACTAAAACTTTGCCATTCACTGAAAAAAAAAAAAAAGTTTCATATTGTAATTAATAAGGTGATTTACATCTAATACAAAACATATTAATTTTAAATTTTTAATTACTAGTAATCAATCAAATTACAGTTGTTGTTCTGATAGGCAGTTTGATTGTGAAGGCAAACTTTTCAAAAGTTTTGTAATCTATTGTAACTGCTTTGTAAGCATCTAGTAAAAGGTAGACTAGGCCTACATTTAAGAGTGGCTTAGCATAGTAATAGTCGTAAGTAATTATTTACTTTTCTGTAGCCCCAAATGTTTATTTTTGCCCCAAGAAGAAAAAATAGCACGTACATTGTACCCCAAATGGTGAAAGTGAAGGGGCACACTGTCACTGTTTTTTATATCTTGTTTGAGTACATATTCCAGATCACTCTAGTTTAGACCATTATTGCAAACAGATGCTAAAGATTTATTGAATGAAGCTTGTGCATGAATAATAAATATTATATTCAGGTTCAACGATTTGTATTATCAACTCTTCTGTGTATGTCAGCAATCTTATTTATGCAGTTTAGAACTACCAGATGGTGAACTACTTAGATTCTGATTTGATTTCATTGATATGATATTTTACTGCCTAAAATCAAAATCATTCCTTTGAGAAACTTTTGTAAACCCTTTTGTGCACTACATTTTCATGTGAAAATACAAACATGTATGTGTTGCTCCGCTCATGAGTGAATAACTTTTGATTATGTTTGATATAGACATTAAATATCTTAAAATTATTAACATATACATATATCCTTTGCAATCTGTGTTACTCAACAGACTAAATCTCTTAGCTTATAACAACCATTTGTGTTATTGCACCAGTACATAAAATTTCTCCCATAGTTGCATAGTTGTATTAAAGAGAAATTAATAAAAACTTGAGAGATCCATTTATTCTTTAAATTGCATAAAAACGCTCATATAAGTTTATGTAACAACAGGTGTTCTTGCAAAACTTGTAAATCAAAATGTGACATTGGTTAAAATGTGTGCTCTAGTTATATGGTTCTTCATGTTCCTTACATGATATAGAGCTTGTAATTTTGAATTATTTTCTTTCCTCTCTTATAGGAAATTAATAAACAGTTCTCCATTTGAACTAACAGTAAACCAGTTTCAGAACAAATAGTCTGAGCATAGTTAAGAAACAGGGGGGGGAATACTTTACAGAAGGCAACTTTCAATGAAGTTCTTTTAGGAAGATTTGATTTAACTAACAAAAATAAATTAAGAAAGAATGTTTTGTTTGAAGTTTTTCATTACATATAATGTATGACAGATAGAGCTGGAAATAGTTTTAAATGAATGGTGAATCGTAGAGAACTTGTGTTTTAATTACTTTTGGAGATTTTGTCGTGAGAAAAATAATCGTATAAGCTTTATTTGGTGTTATAAATGGGAAAACAAATAATATTTAAATGTATATACATAATCAGAATTGTGTGGATATGTTTTTGTGAACTCTGTATAAGAGGCTGATATGAGGAAGTCTTAAGGTATTAAGTTATGCTTAGAATCTATAATTTTTCTGCATTTCAACCAACATACTATTAAAAAAGAGCCTAGTTTTACAGAAAATTATCAAAATAAATAAATATATTTAGCATACTCATTTCTAATATATTAATACACATATTATCTGATTTCATTAGGATACCAGCTGAAGAAGAGGGCAGACCCATGAGAGAACTTGCAACTGTGTTTATGACATCAGCGGGATTAATAATGCCAGCTCGAGATGGCCATATTCCAAACAGTTGTCTACCATCCAAGGAGGTTGAATCAAGGCCAGCCACACCAGAGAATTGGGTTGAAAAATCAGAATCTAGCATTTTTAAACAAAAAGCAATTAAAATCAAAGAAATTAAAAGAGACAAAGACAAACCTGTCAAAAACAAGAAAGATATTTCAGGCATTTTAAAGAAAGAAAGCAAAAAGATAAAGTTAAGTAAAAAAGATAACAAAGAAAACTCACAGACAAAAAGTAGTAAACAGCTACCAGGATTTAAAATACATCATCAGCAAACACACATTAAAAAAGAAGGAAAAGAAGGTGGATCTGTAAAATTTAAGAAAAAAGCCAAACCCTCAATTGAAGGAAATAAATCTCCGAAAGGAAAAAGTGAAAAATTAAAAAATAAAGAAGATAAACCTAAAATCAAAACATCTTCCAAACCATCAAAGCCTAAGAACAAATCTCCTAAAGTTGTTACAAGTGTTCCTGCAGTTACTTCATCTCCTCTTTCTCCATCCTCTGTTAAGTCGGTGAAGAGTGTTTCGGGTCAGAAGAGTCCCGTTTCACTCAGTACTCCGAAATCAGAAAAAGGTGGGCCGAGTTCACTTACTGCTCCAAAATCTCCACAGACAGCTGCTATAGATGTTGTTGTTAAAAATGAATCAGTTTGTGGAAATCAATCAAATAAATTTGAGTTTGATCAAGATTCTCCTCCAGGATCTCCTGATTCAAGGCTTGTCATTGATGATTCTGTGGAAGTACAAGCTCAGCATGAAATGGAGTCACGGTTAGCCGTATTGGATGACTGTATTGATGCAGTTATTCAACGTGCAAGGGAAGAAACTGAAAAACAAACTGTGAAAAATTTCAAGGCCATCGATGATACTATTGAAGATGTAATTAGAAGTTCAATAAAAAAATCTGAACCTAAAGATGTTTATGATTTCACAGATGACTCTTTAGATTCGTCACCTCCTACTCCAAAAACACCAGATGTTTTGGAAACTTCTGGTTTTCGTTTTAAGAAAGAAAAAATTAAAACTGAGGAACCTTTAAAACTGATTTCTGTTCCTGAAGAACAGAAAACAAAAAGTAAAGATAAATCAAAGAAGAAATCAGCAAAGGACTCAAAATGCAAATCTATCACACCTCTTTCACCTACAATTAAACAACAAAAGTCACTGCCATCAAAGACTCCAGACAATACTAAAGAATCACCTTCCAACAGTATTAAAACTGTAAAAACTGAATTAGAAAGTCACAGTGACCATGATCGTTCACCTTTTTCATCTATAACAGGGTTTCCCTCTCTACCTCCAGCACCACAACGATATCTTCCACAGCATACATTCGGGTGTCTCCCACCACCTCCTCCTTTTATTCCATCTTCTACACCTTATCCAAGCCCTGGTGCTGCAAGTGGTACATTTAACTCTATTATTCCCCCATTCTTTCCTCTAAATTCTCAAATGTCACCAACTTCTTCATTTCCAACACCTCCTTTGTTTGGATCATCAAGTAAACTGGACTGTTCTTCTAGCCAGCCACTGAACCTTGTTATGTCTGGACCATATGCTACTATGAAGACTGCTGCTGAGAAAAAAGATATGCCTGTTACCGAGATCCCATCACCAGGACCCGGAACTTTGCCTCTTAAGCCAGATCCTCACGAACCAGAAACCCCTGAGAAAGTTAAAGTAGATGATACTGGAGAGAAGGTGAGAAATTGTTTTATATTAAATATAAATTATTTTATTTCTCAGTGTAAGCAGCTTTTGAAATTGAACTTTGATTATATCTTACAGAGTTGAATGCTTTATTGTTGTGGGAATTTGGTAATTATATTGACACTTGCACATTTGTTTTTGTATAAAGTCCAAAATTCATTAATTAAAATAGCCTTGCCTATGTATATAAGGAACTTTTTAAAATTATATATATTTATGGTTCTCTGTATTGAATGACTACATGATTAATTTTAAAAATGTTGTCTTTGGGGAATTTGAAGATGGATAAACCAGAAATAATCTACTAGTGATATTAAGTGTCTGGTGATACTGTCGAGGAGTAGACTTACTTTCTAGTGCTATACCCATAAACCTGTAATTTAAACATAAAATGGAAGAGTTTTACTTTTATTTTGAAGTTAAAATTTGGTTGCCAGAAAAAGTACAAAAGTAACTTGTAAAGTTCTTTGTCAAAGTAATTTAGACTAAAATATTAATGGCTGGAGACGGCTTAAATGGGTAATGACAAAACCTTGTCGAAACGTTGTACATTTGCTGTCATGTTAAACTTGTATTAAAGTTTTTCTTCATTACCCATTTAAGCCGTCTCCAGCCATTATTAGTCTCAAAGTGGGTTCCTCGTCATCGAATGAGACTAAAATATTGTCCCCCCCCCCAAAAAAAACAAAAACAGAAAGTATTAGCCTCATGAAATATTACTATTTCTAACCCATTATTCTACATTCATGCTGGTATATTAACATGAATTTTTATATTTTTGTTCTTTTATTAATATTTTTTTATCTTATTAAGTAACATAGAACTTGTATATTGTGTTATATTCTTTTATTTGCACTTTTGTCAGTGGTTCAGTTTAAAGAGTGCTTGGAAACATTTATGTCACTCAAGTCCAGCAATAGCTTACCTGCTCTACTACTCATACTGGAGCTCCTGAGTATATATACAGTCTTTAAATTTGGTGTCCTAGACAGTTGCCTGTATTGCTTATTCTTAATACCAGACAGACATGTTACACACACTATAAAGATCACAAGCCAGATTGAAACCTGTTCATTGTCGCACTTAGTAACAGTTCCAAGTTTTAGTAGTCTCATGATAATAAAGTTTGTGTTATAGTGAAAACAAAATTGTAACACAGTTCAGTAAGAAAAAAAGCAAAACCCTATTATGTGTAAGATTAACCACCAATAATTGTAATGTGGTTATTCTTTACTAATCAGTCTTCTGCAGTTTATTTTTTCATAACAATATCAAAATAACAATATATAAATTACTTTAAGTTTTTATAAGTAAAAAACTTACTTACCTCCTTTCACAAGATTAGTTATTCTCTTTCAGTGTTGCCCTCTATATATGAAATTTTTCTTTACACATGCCACAAGCCTTCCACTCCCCCTCTATTAGAATTGCAAGATTCCAACATGTCTCTCATGCGAGTCATCATGCATCACCTCCTCAGCAATAGGAACATGACATGCTCACATGATGCATGTGACTCCCTCTACACTCCTCTACCAAACTATTACTTCTTATTTGACATGATCTTTTGTTTGTTTGATGCTTTGTTTCTTCATAAAGTAGTTGTTTTTTAAATTAATTTGCTTTCATTCAGCCTGTTTCTTCTATTAGTATTTATCAGTTAATTCTAGTCACCTTATTTTCTGCACTGGAATTTGTTGAAGCTTTCTGTGCAATGAATTCTGAAGTTAACATTACCACTTTGGGGGTTACCTATGTTTTTTCTCAGGCCCCAGGTGTGGGCGACCTGAAGGTGGATTTATCTGCTTTTATACACCAGGGGATCGAACATCATATGGGACAACCTTTGTCCCCAGACATTGCCCAGGCTGACAAAGACTTCATTCATCTTTTTCCACCTACAGATTTTGCAGTTCCTTCCCATTCCCAACCCGACGAGTCAACTGGGTGTAATGCAGTCTTTATGGATTTTGTGTCTCAGGTTTGTGACGTTTTATCCCATTTCCCTATTTCTTATACACCTCGTCCTTCCTTACTGCATAAACAATCTTCCCAACCCTTTTTTGGTTTTTCCTCCCTCACCTGATATTCAGGTTCATGCTGACCACTTTGCTTTGCAATTAAGCGAGGAATTAGCATGATGTGCCCCCGCAAACTTCAGATCAGTTCGCATTTTCCTACCATCATGGTGACTATCCATTTTTAGACCAGCAGTTGTTAGGTTCCTTATTGCATATTTGAGGGGCAGCTTCCAAATCATTTGTCTGTCTTACTCATGCCCAATACTCTTGCTTGTGTCTTATCTTTACAAATCTATTATGGTATCTTTCTTCCATACACCTCCTGTCTGAGGCTCCTCACAGAGGGGTTTTCTAGAGTTACCCTTGCCCTTCTCTCCTCCACTTTAGCCTGCATGTTGTCTATAGCTTTGGAGTTACATATGTGGTTTCTTTGTTGTTGGGACCTTATAGGTTGTGATGGCATATTGGCTTGGGTCTTAGGGCTTTATGTATGGGCCCCATTTGTGAGGCATTATGATTTTTGATATGGTCCTTGGGTGACATCGAATAAACAAGTATCCACCCTTACAAAAATTATAGCTTGTTTGTCACAGTCAGAGTCTCGTATGCCTCCAATTACTGTTTCTCATCCTTCCCCTTACCCATTCTTTCTACTAAGGGTACTTCTTGTCACTTTCCTTGACGATACACCCTCGTTGCCACCAGTAACGGTAACTACCCAGTAGGTTCTGGTCCTGTGGGAGCTTAGCTGTTCGAGTTTCTTCATCACTGGCATTCCTTCATGGGCAATCAATGGGTGCTTCAGGTTTTGTCAGAAGGATTCATTGTCCAGTTTCTTACCCCACTTCCCGTCTCTCCTTACCAAGTTATCTTCCCTCATCCTCAAGATTCTGTGACCAGCCAGTATCTGTCAGAAGTGTTTCTGGAATTGCTCTTGCTGCAGGCCATTGAACCTGTTCCCCATCCTTCCTAGGGTTTTTATTCCTGCCTTTTCATTGTTCCCAAGAAAATCAGGGATTTGCGTCCGGTAATTGACTTATCTTGCCTCAACCACTTCTTTTCACTACTCCAGGGTCACCATAAAGCCTTTTCTCACCCTAAAATGGCCATTTTCTCCAGGGTTGTGGATGAGCAAAATGGATGTCTCCAGTTCGATGACGAGGAACCCACTTTGAGACAAATAATGCTTGGAGATGCCTTGAATGGGTAATGAAGAAAAACTTTAATATAAGTTTAACATAACAGCTAATGTACCACAATATTTCGACAAGGTTTTGTCATCATCAGGTACCTGATCAAACTGGAGAAGTCTTTCCTCAGACCCACTCAATATCTTGTCCATTTGGGGGTCTTTTTCAACATTCATATCAGTCTGACCCATCCTTCACCTTTACGACTTTGTTGAATGGAACTGTTGGTTCACCATGCCCTCTTGGTTCAGTCACTTACTGCTTGTGAGGTTCTATCACTTTTGGGGATATGGTCATCAATGATATCACTGTATCCCCTCAGTCATGCCCATATTAGATCCCTTCAGTGGGCACTTCTCAATTAATGGAACCTTGCTCAGGATCCTCTTTCCATCCCCATTACCCTTCCTTTTCCCTTGTGAGACAATCTGCTTTGATGGTTGGACAAAGCCCACACATCAGTGGATGTGGCACTTCCTCCCACTCATCTGTATTTACACATTTTCATGGATGGGGGTATGGGTCAATCAACAGGAAGCTTTGGGCCATTGGTCTGTGGACAAAAGCACTTTGCATATCAATGTTCTTGAACTTTAGCCATACGTTGGGCATTGCATCACTTCCTTCTCACTTGACATTGTCTGGTGATTGTTCATACAGACAGTTCTACAGTGGTGGCACATATCAACCACCAAGGGGCACTCGGTCCAGAGATCTCTGTTTTCAGATGATGAATCTTTTATACTGGGCCCACACACATCATATTCATCTTATTGCGTGTCATGTGCCGGGTTCTTTGAATCTCGTCATGGATCGTCTTTTGCGCCCTGACTGGATATATCCCACAGAGTGATCATTAGGTCCCATTTTATTTCAGCAATCTTTGCCATCGGTGGGGTTCTCTCCACATGGATGCATTTGCTGTGAGCCTGAACAACAAGTTAACTATCTTTTTGTTACTTGTACCTCATCCCTAGGCTCTAGCAGTTTGTGCCTTCAGCCAAGATTGGTCACGTAAGTATATTTATGTGTACCCACCCATACAATTACTTCATCAGGTGATTTCTTTCATCCACTCCACTCCTTGTTGGGTCCTCCTGATTGCTCCTCTACCATTTTCCACTTTCTCTCTACCTTCTTCGGCAACCTCAGTTACATCCCACCCTTCATGTTCTGCATCTTTACGCCTGGCTTTTGTCCAGTCCTTGGTGAGAAGAACCAGTTTCACACGTTGAGTTGCTTTCTTGCTAGTTGGTTCCGCAGAAGTGTACCAACACAAGTGGAAGGTATTCCGTTGTTGGTTTACAACTACTGTGTTTCCCACTGACCAGCCTACTGTGGTTTGTGTGGGATAATTTCTCACCTGGCTCTTTGATCATGGGTCTTTCATGATATCAGGTAGCCTTTTCCCATACCTTTCTCTTTTCCTGATACCGTAGAGTTTTTACTTACCCTGTCATTACCATGCTCATGTGTCCCTTCTGGATACGTCACCCTCCCAGGTTATCTACCCTTCCAGATTGGGATGTTAATGTGGTCCTCCATTCTCTTACTTTACCTCTGTTTGAACCACTTACCTCGTGTTACATGTTTCATCTTTCCCTTAAAACATATTTCCTTTTTCTCTTAGTCTGTGGATGTTGATTTGTTTCCCATTGACATTTCACATTACCCTTTATCACCCTACCTATATTCTCCTTTATCCAGATCATTTCTTTCTTCCAAAGACCTCAATAGCTCGGGAGAGTGGTTCCTCCTTTGCTCCTATTTCCCTTCCTTC